TAACTAACCTTGGCATTGAGCCAGTAAGCTATTTTTGTTGTTGTAACAGGTCTGGCCTCGACACGATAGAGCACATATTCAACACAGGACAATTCGCAAAATACGTGTGGAGAAGCTTTGTAGATGCTGCTGGAATCATCACAGATCACAATTCTCTTACTCAACTCATCATACAATGGTGGTCAGCAAAGTATAACAATGAAGCACACAAGCTATTACTACAAGCTACACCATTATTCATTTGTTGGAACCTTTGGAAGAATCATTGTGCTAGTAAATACGGAGGCAAATCGTCCAACATTAGTCGAGTCAAGTATGCACTCTACAAGGACAACTACAAGCTAATGAATACAAACTTCCCACAAATCAAATGGCCTTCAACCTGGAAGGAACTATTTCAGCTGGGGGAGAATTGCATTCATGACACCAAAGTGACAATCGTTAAATGGATAAAGCCTCCAGCTTGTTGGGTCAAAATCAACACGGACGGCAGTGCATTAAGCAACCCGGGCAGAACTGGAGTAGGTGGCATCCTAAGGGATCAAATGGGAGCAATGCTATTAGCTTTTGCTACTCCTTTGGGGGAAGGCACTAACAACCAAGCCGAAATTGGAGCAGCCATTTTTGGCATGACATGAGTACTTCAACTGGGATACAAGAATGTTGTTTTGGAAGTGGATTTGCAGCTGCTAGTGGACTGGATTACGCAGAAAGCCAAACCTCCATGGAGCATCAGCATACAACTACAACAGCTTCAGGAGCTCATCAGACAAACACACAACTTTCGATGCAAACACATCTTCAGAGAAAGCAACTTTGTAGCCGACTCCCTATCAAAGCGAAGTCACAATCTTACTAGTCCCCAAATATATTGCAACAGCCAGCAACTACCAAAAGAAGCAAGAGCCTATTATCAACTAGACATGATCGAAATGGCAAGCTTCAGAAGAAGGAAAATCAAGAGGATCAAAGAACCACCCTAAGTCGAATTCAAAGTTTTCAATCATAACTCTTTTGAATAAGGCTAAGTTTTTATTTTGTTTAATTGTAAACGGTGAGTCTCCCTTATTTATGATTTCTAGATCCTTTGTATCAAGAGGAGTCCTCTCTTTTAGGTGCTTAGGTTCTAGATTTCCTCTTTTAGAATGGGGATAAGTTGACTATCCTTAGTAGGAAGGTCGACTAATGAACCACCATAGGATTAGAGGTTAGGTTTATGTCCCCCTCCTTGTACTCTGTTTGGTTTTATTTATGCTAAGGCCTGGGGGTGTTGCTAAGCCCCTGACCCCCCCCAAGGGTCGTTCAAATAAAAAATAAAAAAAAATCTGAAACTCTAAACCCTAAACCCTAAACCCTAAACCCTAAATCCTAAACTCTAAACCCTAAACCCGAAACCCTAAACCCTAAACCCTATACCATGAACCATAAACCCTAAACCATAAACACTAAACCCTAAACCCTAAACCCTAAACCCTAAATCCGCCTTATCATTTTATGAATTTTTTCTCTTTCTAAAATTTCTCTCTCTAGAATTCTCTCAAGAAATTAGCTATTTGCGCTAATTTCACAATGTTTCAGCATCCCTAGAATGGAAAAAAGCACTGCCAGCTGATCAATTTGGGCCACCAGATCCATCTACAGTGATGCACAAGCCAAATATATCTTCCTTCCTTCAAGAATCGTCCTCAGAATCAATCGACAGCTCCTCGCAGGTGACAGAAGAGGCGATCCATAGTACAATGGCGGAAAGGGAGTTGGATGGGACTCGTATTGATAATCCCATGGAAGATTCGAGTCAAATTCGAGGAAAAGGGATTGGCAAAAAAGAATCCCAGTGTCAAGATCGTTATAATAGTAAAAAATCCCACGATTTCACTGTCCCATTTGAGCGAAATCCACCGGCGACGGCGGCAAGGAGTTCTGGTGAATCGTCCCAAAAGCACCACAAAAATTGAAGCACTACTGAGGTAATTCGTGATGAATCTGATATTGGGGTTGGTAATACTAGTAGTGGTGTTCTTAACATTGAAGTTTAAAGTACATTTCATGGTGTAATTCCCAGTTCAAGCGACTCTACCGGAATTCCATCAAAGAATCTCAAAAAAATTCAATATGAAGATGAGATGTGTGTGGTATCACAGACCCAAATACAACATAGGGAAGGAAAGCAAGAAGTTCAAGATTTGGGACAATCTAGCACTTCTCATAAGGATGAGCAACTCCTCAAGAAACAGGGCAAGGACACAGGTATAATTCATATTGATAAATCTCGTTCAACTGTGATTCCTGCAAATCAAGCCCATTTGAATTCTGATCATCTTAAAAATGAGAATGATCAAATGAAAATTTGAGTTGCTAAAGATCAGGGGAAAGGTAATACAGTTAAGTCTAACATTAGAGCTGATCAACAACAAGTTTATCAAGAGAACTTTCCTAGAATTTCTAGCAATTTTGATTAACAAGTTCCTAAAGCTAATACAAATAATGTTAGGAGTGATCGTCCTCCATTTAATCCTCCTAATCCCCCCAAAATTGAGCCATTAGCTGCACCAGCCCCTTATATAGTAGTGCAAACTTATGCTGAACGACTTAGATATAATCAGGCCAAAGGTGATGCCCCCATTACTTTGACAGCTCCTGAAATTACCACTAAACAAGGCCTCCCTGCTGTTTTGTATGTGAAAGACGAGGTGATGAAAGATTTAGCAGCAACTTGCAAATATACTTTCATTGGGAAATTTAGCTATACCATGCCTAAAGTGGAACTTATTAGGAATAACTTCATATTGCAAACTCAATTATCGGGTGGAGTTAAAATTGCATATTTTAATTCTAGACATGTATACATTGATCTTGATAATGAGATTGATTACATTATGGTTTGGACTAAGCAAAGAATGCGTATAGCTGGACAAGTGATGCGAATTGAAGTGTGGACTCCTAATTTTAAACCAGCTGAAGAAACTCCTATAGTCCCTATCTGGATCTCTCTGCCTGAATTACCTTGGCATTGTTATAATAAGGAGTTTGTTTCTGGATTGTTTTCTCCTACTGGCAAGGTTATTAAAAAGACTAGGGGTTCAAGCTAGGGTGAAGATACAAGTTGATCTTACTTAAAAGAGACCTCCTTATATTTGGATGGGTTATATAGGGGAGGATATCACTGATGGGAGATGGCAGAAAATTGAATATGACAATATTCCTGATTATTATTTCTACTGTAAGCATCAAGGACATTTGGAAAGTGATTGTACCACAAGGAAAAGGGATGAGGATAAAAACAAAAAGGAAATGGAGACTGTGAGAAACAAGAATAATAAAGAGATGGACAAAAATCCACAACAACCAAAGGGTCAAACAGAAGGTGAAACATAACCAACAAAAAGATCAGGAACAGATGCAGTTTCAGCAAGAGGACCAATGGCAAACACAAAGATGGAGGAACAATATTCAAATAAAGGAACATAGAGGCAATACTAGACAAGTAGAACAGTCCATTAAACAGGCAGGTATAACTACTATTCCTACACAAAACACATATATTAATCTTGATGTGCAAGAGTCATCACCTAGCTTAGAAGTTCTGGACAAATACAAAGGTAACACAAGTGATAGCAAACCTCAGACTGCAGCAACAAAGCAGCAGGGTCAAGATGAGTATAACAGGAAACTAGCAAATGTTGGACATGACAACACTAATTTACAGGTGGATATAGTTGCTAAACAGGTAATAGAGATCACTCCAGAAAATGAAGTCTCTATAGGGCAAGCTGCTACAGGTATTGACTCAATGCTCCCATCCCCTAATCCCACTGATAATGTTGTTAATATTCTTGCTGAGATAGGTGTTGGAGGTTTGTATGGGAGGGAACATGAGACACATACTGATATGCAGGAAGGGGTGTCCAAAGGAGGGAGGGAATTGACTCATGCTAGACATGAGGAACTGAAATTTGACCATAGTAAAGACTCTAGAGCCCCTGCTACCCCTATCAATAATCAACAGAAAACTGCCACTCCATATGTCACAGATACAAGACAACAACAGGGAAGATTTAATAACAAATCAGGGGACAGATTGAGTAAAAAGAAAAGAGAGGCAATAAAAAAGAGACTGCAACAGAGTGTGGGTAAAGATTCAACTGGTATAGATACAGGTAAATAGATTGAGGAACATGATGATGACCAGGTTAATAAAGGTAACAAGGTGAAGGTGCCTCCGAATGATTATGGGGCACTTGACTCTGAGGATGAGATAGATCGTGATAATCAATCTATGGGGGAATCTGATGAGGATGCAGAATATACCATGAAACATACAGGGCAAGTGTTTGGTTCCTCCTTCCAGGATAAATGCACTGATGTTCAAAGAGTGAAAAAACAACAAGGTTTATCCTCAAGGGGAAGGAAACAAACTAGACACAAACCTCACCAGCCTATTACCAGCATGTCTGACACCTCTAGCAGTCCCATGACTAGGTCCAAATCAAAAGGTTATTAGTGATTCAAGCCATTTGCTGGAATGCTAGGAGTATCAATACCAAAGGATCCTTAGAAAAGATTCAAACACTCAAGAAAATTCATCATTTATCTATTATTTCTATCCTGGAACCATTTGCAGATATTTCACATATTGATATGGTAAGAAGTCAACTACAGCTGGATCATGCAATCAGTAATCCTAATGGGAAAATTTGGTTGTTTTGGTCTAATGAAGTCAAGGGTCATATTCTGGAAAAGCATGATCAGCACATCACAATAACTTTTCAGCACACAGATATTTCTGAGAAATTCATGATATCCTTTATTTATGCTAAATGTAAGGAATATATAAGGAGACCTTTGTGGGACTGGTTAATTGTTTATGCTAATATAGATTTACCTTGGTGTACAATGGGTGATTTCAATATTATCACCTATATAGAGGAGAAGCTTGGGGGAATACCTTACAATATGAATAACAGCCCATCAATGAGGATATATTACAACATATCCCAAGAATGGTCACTCCTGAACAAAATATGACTCTCCAAGCAATGCCTACTAGTGAAGAATTGCAGCAGGTTGTCTTTTCTATGAATCCCAATTCAGCTCCTGGTCCGGATGGGTTTTGTGTGAAGTTTTTTCAGAGTTGCTGGGGTATCATCAAAGAAGATATTTTGAATGCTGTCCATGCCTTCTTCTGTGGTTCCTTCATGCCCAAGTTCATTTCACATGCAAGTTTGGTTCTACTCCGAAAAGTAGATCATCCTAATAATTTTTCAGAATTCAGACCCATAAGTTTGAGCAACCTTACCAACAAAATCATTGAGGAGTTTAATAATGTGGTTAAAGCCTACTGGGATAGGGAAGTGGAAGGTAATCCTATGTGGAGATTACAACAGAAAATGAAGAGGTTGACTGCTACTCCTAGTAATTGGTCCAGAACAACTTATGGAGACATTTTCAGCATTGTTCGAGATCATGAGGAGAGAGTTAGAGTGGCTGAGGAAGCACTGATTGTTAATAATTCTACTGAAAATAGAGCAAACTTACACATGATTAATGCCAGGTACATCAAATACTTGAAGTTGGAAGATTCTATCCTCAAACAGAAGACTCAATTGCAGTGGTTTAAAGATGGTGACACCAACTCCAAGTACTTTTTTGCCATTATGAGAGGTCGAAGAAGGATACTTTTTATCCACAAGGTCTGTATAGGAAATGAAGAATGGGTGGAGGGGTATGAGAACATAGCCAAGGCAGCCTGTGATCACTTTAAGAACATATTTACTGGAACTGAACAGCCCATCAATGAGGATATATTACAACATATCCCAAGAATGGTCACTCCTGAGCAAAATATGACTCTCCAAGCAATGCCTACTAGTGAAGAATTGCAGCAGGTTGTCTTTTCTATGAATCCCAATTCAGCTCCTGGTCCGGATGGGTTTTGTGTGAAGTTTTTTCAGAGTTGCTGGGGTATCATCAAAGAAGATATTTTGAATGCTGTCCATGCCTTCTTCTGTGGTTCCTTCATGCCCAAGTTCATTTCACATGCAAGTTTGGTTCTACTCCGAAAAGTAGATCATCCTAATAATTTTTCAGAATTCAGACCCATAAGTTTGAGCAACCTTACCAACAAAATCATTTCCAAAATTTTATGCCGCAGACTTGCTCCTATGCTGCCTAATATTATCTCCAACAACCATCTGGTTTTGTTAGAGGAAGGAGTATTTCAGAGAGTGTCATGCTGGCACAGGAGATTATACATGGCATCAAAAAACCTAAGGAAGGGGATAATGTGGTGATTAAGTTGGACATGGCAAAGGCATATGAAAGACTGTCATGGGCCTTTACTAGTCTGGTTTTAAGACACATGGGATTTGGAGAAATTTTCATTGACATAGTGTGGAGGATTATGAGGAATAATTGGTACTCTAATATAGTCAATGGGACAAGCCATGGTTTTTTCCATTCTACAAGAGGTCTCAAGCAGGGGGATCCTCTCTCCCCATCCCTATTTATTTTAGGGGCTGAGGCATTGTCTAGAATGCCTAATAACCTATATGACAATCAACACTTCCATGGGTTCCAAATGGACTTCAGAAGGCCTCAGATCAATCACTTAAGCTTCGCTCATGATGTTATCATTTTTACTTCAGGAAGAGAAGAGTCTCTGAAGCTCATTATGGAAACACTGTCAACCTATGAAGATACCTCAGACCAACTCATCAACAAAGGAAAAAGTCACTTCATGGTTCCTAAAGATACACCTTCTCACATTATTGATATGATTCAGGAAATCACTGGCTTCAATCAAAGTGAAAGTCCTATAAATTACCTTGGCTGCCCCCTTTACATAGGAACAAAGGATTATTTATTATTCAGATTTGGTGGCAAAGGTTGTCAAATAGATCAGTGGCTGGCACTCTCGAATCCTAAGTTTTGGTGGGAAATGTACATTGGTTAAACATGTACTTCAATCAATACCTATTCATACTATGGCAACTATTTCCCCTCCCATAACTACCTTGCAATATATCAAAAGAGTGATATCAGACTTCTTTTGGGGAATGGAAGGAGACAAGAAAAAATACCATTGGGCATCTTGGGAATCTCTTAGTTTCCCTTATGAAGAGGGTGGTATTGGTGTGAGGCATCTTAACGACGTTTGCACTTCTCTCCAAATTATACAGTGGTGGAACTTCAGGACTAAACACTATTTATGGGGTCAATTTCTAAAAGCCAAGTACTGCCAGAGGTCTAACCCAGTAGCTAAGAAAGGGGCTACAGGAGATTCTTTGGTGTGGAAATACATGTTGAGGAACAGGGAGATGGTTGAAACTGAAATAGACTGCAGAATAAATACGGGAAATGCCCTTTTTTGGTGGGATAATTGGATGGGGGAAGGACCTCTAGCTCACCTTTGTCATGGCATAACTTGCTTGAATAATACTCAAGTTTCTTATTTTTTAAGTCATGGACAGTGGAATGAAACTTTGGTGAGAATGCATGTCCCACCTTTGCTAGTTCCCAAAGTGCTTAGCATTGTTATTCACTACCAAGCAGGAGTCACTGATGAGGCATATTGGAAGCGAAATGAAAATGGGGCTTTCACTTGTTCATCTGCTTGGAACCTAGTGAGGGGCAAGAAGAACAAGAGTAGACTATTATCTACTATTTGGCATAAACAAGTTCCATTCAAAGCTTCCTTTCTATTGTGGAGGGCTCTCAAATTCAAACTTCCTACCAATGATAAGTTGAGGACTTTTGGAGTGCAGCCAGCAACATGTTTCTGCTTCATTAGACCAGGATTGGATGATATTGAACACATTTTTGTTACAGGCAATTTTGCAGCTCATATCTGGAGGTATTTCTCTGGGCAGTTGGGAATTATTCACAACCCCAGGCCACTGAAAAATCTCCTGATGAACTGGTGGGGAATGGCTGCAAAAAATGAGGTCCACAAACTCATTATTCAGACCCTTCCCATATTAATTTGTTGGAATCACTGGAAGAACAGATGCTCGGTGAAATATGGCCAGAAAAAATCTAATGTGGCAAGAGTGAAGTACATGATTTTTAAAGACACTTTCCAGCTTCTCATGGTCACTTATCTCTAAACCCTAAACCCTAAACCTGAAACTCTAAACCCTATACCTTGAACCATTAACCCTAAACCCTAAACCCTAAAATCTAAACCCTAAACACTAAACCCTAAACCCTAAACCCTAAAC